CTAGAATTGCATGATGTGCTGATTTTTGTCTCCCACTCCATCTGTTTTGTGGTTTGTGCATGGACGTTTAACAGATAGTTTAGAAAATAGCATTTTTTCTTCCTATCTTTTTCACAAACAATCAATCTGGAATGTAGCCGTGCCCGTTACTGTTATTCCAGCAACTGGTACATCAGTGTTTTTCTGTGAGGCAGAAGAGCACATCCCAAAGTGTTCTGGAATCAGTCAGTTCTTCTCTTCTGTGTTCTGTTCCAGTTAGCTGGTTTGGATTTGAAACTCATCCAGAGCTGGTTAATTATTTGTGGTCCATTTTTTTTTTAACTGCTTAAGGAACTTGTGGGTTATCTTAATTAGCCTGGAAAAAATTCAGATATTGATTGGGTCAAAAAAAATAGGCTGAAGTGAATATGTTCCTGTGTAGCAATGCTGCCTCTTCCAGCTCTGTTTAAGTACATCTTTTTTTAGTGAAAGTTGCCAAGTTTCTATAACTCTTACCTGAATAAGAGATTCTCTGGTAATTTATTTATGGCTTCAATGGACAGTTCCTAAAAATCCTGCGTGTATTTTAAACCATTCTTCTCAGCTCACAATTGATGTAGTTTGATTTGTTGTCTGATCTGAGTTCTGAACTCATTAATCAGAATCAGAGTTGGAACAATGCTTCTGGATTCCTGTCTTCAACAACAGAGTCTTCGTCTGTGTACTAATCCTGACATATTTGTCTTGTAAGGTTTTACAGTGGGAAAGAATTGCATGCATACGTCTCCCTCAATCTACTAAGACTGCCCAAATATATTTCTAAACAGCACTGAATGGACCCACGTGTATGCACAGAATTCCCAGATGTCCAAATGACCAAAAACAGAAATATAGGATTATTAGGCAGCTTTGTTTCTACCACATAAAATACTTCTAGCCCTGCTGGAGGTTTTGAAGACAAGGCCTATCAATTTTACGTACTTTCCAATTTAAAGACCCCTGAGGTTCAAGCAAGAGCTGTTAAGAATGTTAATTTTGGAGAGAACTGTCAGATATTTTGCCTCTCAGTGAGTGATGATGTTTTTAACCATAGTCAGACTCACTGTAGTCACACCTTTCAATAGGTATGACTGTAGTTTTCTGTGTGTATAGTATAAACTTATTTTCTGGATATAACAGAAAATGTAAGTTGTCTGCAGAATCTGAAATGGGCCAGGGTTCCTTTTATAGATAGGTTCCTTTTACTGTATTATGGTACTGTATTACTGTATTCTGCACTCCTAAAGATAGGTTCCTTTTACTGTATAATGGTACTGTGCTTAGGACTGTAGAAATCTGCACTTCCTGTTTAGAATAAACTCACCACTCTCTAAAACATGAGTATCTGGGCCTCCAACTTGAGGTTCTTGCTCATCTTACTCTGTAGCCCAGGAGTTTTAGTCACAGGCTGGGGCCCTGTTGGCTAAGGCAGTGTATGCACGTGCGCGCACAGCCCTGCCTCAGGCCCATCCTCAAGGATTTTACAATTTCAGCATAGAAAATGTGGTGGTTACAGATAGCAATTGGGAGTGCAAAGAAACATTGATCAGGATGGGTAATGATAATAATATTTTAGTAGTTCGTCACTTAACAAGTTTTTGGAGCTCTCACGGGAAAGAAATGTTCATTTTCTGTGGGTGATGAGAAGATAAGGCTAGCGGGGATCTCTCCTGAGAAGTTGTCTCTAGCAAACATAATACAAGCTCCATGAATAATCGACATTTTCTGGTTGTTCGTGTTCACTGAAAACAGACTATCTATGGTAATATAATTAAACTTATACAGAATGTTTCACTGTTAGCATTTTCTTATGTCTTTGGTGAGAGGATTCCCTTTTTATATTTTTCATTCAGAAAGTAAATATAAGTTTAGAAGTAAGATGATAGTTTTTATTGTAATTTAGCATTACACAATTAGACATGTGAAACAATAACTGTCAACACCTGTCCTGCATATTGTTTCATATGAGCGAAATTGTAGATCCGCGATGAAAGTGGGAAGTTGAAGTAAGAGAAGAGCAAAAAAATATTGGTTGAATAATGATAAAATCATGAGAGACTGGAAAATAAGGAGGTCTGTGCACTGCTGTGAAGAACAACTTGGATTTGTCATCTTTCAGTGATGCAAGTTCTGTAGCAGTCTATAAAATCTCTCGTGAGTTGAGAGGACTATTCTGTAAAAAAGTAACAAGAATTTCTACTTATCCCAGTTGTTCTGCTTGTGTTCAGGGCATTCGCTGTCTCTGGAGTAGGTCACATGATTTATTTGAACATATCTTTGAAAGATAAAAGTTTGCAACACATTTCTAAGGGAAGAAAGAAGCAAAAAGGATGAATGACATAGGATAGAAAACTATTGTCGCCACTTTTAAAAAAAATACCCCCTCCTCCCCGTCTTCACCAGTGGTAAAAGGCTTCTAAATTCAAAGAAACCTTTATCTTCCTTTTTAGTGGATTGTTTCAGGATTAGGTGATTCTGTGGTTGAAATGGAACGCCACTGCTGCCACCCACCACCTCCCTGCCTGAGTATCTGTTTTAACTCATTGCTTTCATCCTTAACCCTGGAAGTCCATTTCACTTGTTTTAAAAATGTCTACGTGAGTGTCTGCATCAAAGTCAAAACTGTATATGAAAGCATTACATGTCACCTCAACCAAATGAGGGAAAGTAGGAAGTCAAACTCCCTGTCTTGTATGACAGATAATACTAGCTTCTGAGAATACAACCTGTCATTCCTGTTTTCCCACTGAGAAGAATCATTGTCCAATTATCAGCTATACTGGGTTTTTTTTTCATCTTTTTAATTTAAAGCTCTACCAGGCATCATTAGTGGGGGAGGAAAATGACAAAATGGACCAAGATACATCACAATGATGCTGGAGAAACGACGCCTTTGTTCATTCTCATCTCTTGTAAAACATTGTGTAGCATTTTTCCGAAAAGTGATACTCCCGAGGCTTATATCCCGAGGATATTGATGACTCTCCTGCCTACCTTTCTAGCTCCCTGCACAGCTGAATTTTGAGAGGACAAGGAAGAGGTGCCTTGGCGCTGGAGCACAGGCCGGTCAAAAGCAGAAGCTATGCATAACATACAGAAAAAGTGGAAGTGAAGAGATCTTGAGACATTAATATGGGGAATAAACTATGTGCTATTTTACAGTAGAGAGAGGTGGAATAGTTTCTCAAACTGGATACTAGTATGTTTCAATACTAGATATCTGATATTGCTGGGCTTTTTATAGTATTTTGTCTTTGAGAGAAGTTGCAGGGCAAAGGGACAGTTTGTGCACTAGAAGCTGCTGTGTGGATCTGTACGCAGTTATACCAGTGTGGAAATGCAATGGATGTTTGAATAGACTGTGATTCAGCAATTGTTAAAAAATTTTGGCTTCAGTTAGTTTTCTTTGGTGTTTTAAAGAATATTCATTTCTGAACTGAACAGGGGAACATTAAACAAGGGAAAAATTAATCCAAAAAGTATTTGGCACAAAATTTGGAAACAACTGAATGAGAAGTTAAAGTGCATGAAGAAATTTGTCAAGTAAATGATGCTGGATTATTTTTGAAATACTGTGTAGTTCTCTTTTGTTTGAAAAAATTGTTTTGATTAATATTGTATAGAAGAACTAGATGCTTCTCTTTCATCTTTGTGACGTTTAACAGTACGTAGAGGGGAAGGTGATTCTTGGAAGTAAAATTTCACTTCTATAATGCCGCTTCTTAAGATAGTGGGTATTGCATAATTAAACTCCCGAGAAGTCTCATGTTGTGGTAGATTAGACAAACGCCTTAGAAGCAAGCTAGTTTGCCTTGTCCAAATGTTCATTGCCCATGAAAGAAATGCAATGGTTCTTAGTGTGGGTCGGTTTTGCTAAGAAATCACTTATACATCTGTGCAAAACAAGATGAATGAAACCACTTTATTCTATGAAAGTATTGATCACATACAAACGGTGACGCTTTTCAAGCGGAAGATACAGTACAGAAGATGCCTTGTTCATGCTAGCTGAACAAACTAAATGTTTGAGAGATCCTGTAAGCATTGTTTCTCAAAAACCTACACAGAAAATGCTCTAATGTCAGATTCTGGTGATCCCCATATTCACTTGATCAGGTACAAATTGTGCAGAAGCATTGAACAAGCCTGATGAGTTAAACAGCTTTGGGCCTGATCCCCTAGATTTCTGTGTCTTTCACAGCCAAAATCTATGTCCTTTTACAGCCAGGACTCACAAGTGGCTCCCTTACAGGTAGCTGAGGACCCCACAGATGAAGTTGGTTTTGATAAGTGTTTGTTAAGCTTCTGGTTCTTTTGCTTATTATCTCTAGCCAATTTTAGTTGTTTAAGCCACCCAGACAGAGTTTCCCGTCTCGGTTCTGCCCAGAGAGTGTTAGCAAGTGTGTAAATTGTCCCTTCCCATACTCAGGGGTGTGGCATACTTTGGCTAGCACTCTCCCTCTCTGGTTTGTCTCGCACACAAGGCCTACATGTAACATACAGAGCAGAAGGAAGATTTAGGAGTAAGGTGGCAGAACTGTACCCAACACCTGATTTAGGTGACGTTGACGTTTATTGAAAGCAAGCTGGCCACAGATCAAGTAACTGCATGTCAATTAGACAAACACAATGCAATTCATTTCACTCGCATCTCACTTTAATGAAAATTTGCCCATAGTGTTTCATTATAGAGAAAGGGAAAGCTGCCTTTCCTGTGGTTTTCTGATTTCTTTGCTAATTGCAGATTACAGAAGAATTACAGTATATATAACCACAAAACATGCTTATAACATCTAAGCCTTTCTCATAATAATAGACTTTGATATAAGAAAGGATTATAAATCCTGGGTATATGGTGTACAAATTTAGATACTATACAACTAGCACTGCATGTACAGCTTAGTCTACTTCATTAAAAAAGAAGCAAATTAAGTGCTGCAGCCCTAACCTGCAAGTACTCTGCTTTCTGTCCTCCTCTTCAGGAACCTTGGGATGCACAGCACATTCCAGCACTGTTCTCTGCTTTCTGTGGCCTACTAGTTGCGCTTTCTTATCACCTCAGCAGACAAAGCAGTGACCCATCTGTACTAATGTAAGTTGCCTGCAAATGTTGTTTATTGATTGCTCCATGCAACACACCAAGTGTGTCTTGTTCAGAGTGGTAATTTGGGTCTCAGAACCACAGAGATTGTCTCCCCAAAGTACTATGGTGAGGTGGAAATCCCTCACCATGTTTGGCTGCTTGATGTCTGTCTTGTAAATAAACAAACCACTTCAGACAGATTGGTAGTAAGGCTGGTGTTTTTTACAACAGCAATTCCAAATACTCTGAGGTAGATTTCACCCTCTGGGAAATTGTGCTTACTCTACTGAAGGCTAGCTGTTTATGTGGGGGGACACACTGGTTACCAGCGTTGCAGAACATGCATTGGGTAGCACCATGGGAAGGAAAAGGAGCATTTCATATGTTGGGAAGATGGACAATTCCAGTTCTTGTTCAAGGTCAGTTTTAGTTGGCTGTACCTCTCTTTTGAGATTAACTCCTTTCCTTTTCTACTCTGACATGTTCTGCTAAAGCTGCTTTAGGAAAGGTAGCATAAGTTAAGAGCTGACATTGGGAACAAGGGAGAAGTCCCAACATTGTGATCTGAAATTGAGAGAATGTGAGAGATGCCAGTAGAACTACAGATCAGGAGTGGAAGGAGTTTTGCTATGTGGGAGCTGTGTCATAAGGCTGTCATGGAGTCTGTGGCGGTACACAAGCCACTGGTAAATCAGGGTGATTGGCCATGCACTTCTGTAATGCTGGAGAGAAAGGGGGAGTGGAGGGCTTTTTAGGCCATTCAAGATTATATCTGAGGAGAGAGACTTGGGAAAAGGAGAGGAATTCCGATGGAGAAGCAGAAGGATATAGGCCACTAACAGTAATTTACATCCCAATAAATCTCGCTGAAGAGCTGAGAAATTCCTTCTTCAACATCCAGAAGATTCAAGGAATCTGATATTTACGTGTTACTAAGTGCTGATGTGGCAAAGCAGAAAGAATTGCTTATATTATTGCCATTAACTTTATGCAGAGCCCACTGTATCTTTGCAATGACATCAATTAGACCTGGATTAGACTTTATGTAGATGCCTTTTAGTTCACAGATTCCACTGTAAAGTGCAGACAGGTAAATTCCAAATCAGCATGGAAGTGTGAGCTTTTTCAATTTTAAAGTAATTTAAATATATTTGGACCCCAGATATTATTTAAATATAAATGGACCCCAGTTCATTAACTTCTTTAACAAAACAAAAACTCTCCTCTTTCCTTAAAGCTTTGTTTAAGGAATTCATCTTAAACCTTTAAATCCATTTCACCTTTTAAATCTAGTTCCTGATTCAATAACTTTCTTAATCAAATCCTCAGCATTTGAAATCATTGTAAATATCTTGTTTAGGATTAAAATATGTGTACAACATCATCAGACGTTCATTATGCAATCATAATGAAAATGCATAATCCCTTAAAAAGGAGGTTTAGAATATTTTTTTAAACTGCTCCGGACTTAATTAAAGGAAGTTAAGGGGATTGGAAACAGTATTTAAGGGATGGCGTACAGTGTAAAGTTCAAGATGGAGGAGAAGATAACACATAAATCTTGAGCTGAAGATTAACATACAATTTATACAGAAATGGCCTCTTTGGCCTTTGTAATGTGACTCCAAAGAGCTCTTTAGCTTAGCTGAAATATTAATAAAGGGCATGAATACAACAATACCCTCTCAGTTCTTTCCTCTAAATGACCAAGTAGCGCTGATTGGACTACTCTGGTTGGCAAGGAAGTTCCACCCTGATCAAAGACAGAACTGGTTTGTATCCGTTGCCAGCTACACAAAGATAAAATAGTTGCTGCATACATAAGGAAGGAAAACTGAGGCTGATCTTTCTCTTCTTCGTCCTCTAGGAACATCCATACCTATTAGGTGTGTTCAGATATATCCTAACTGGGTTTTTTTTTTTTTTTAAATAACAGGTCTCTTATTCAATGCAAATTTGTCCCTCACTTTCTTCGTCAGCATTTTGAAGATTCATCAGCAGATCCGCTCCCAGAAAAGATGAGAGAATCAGTGGTAAGACCTCTTCTTTCATGGCTTTCTGTGCAAAGCTCTCTTCTTTCCTTTTTTTTACGCTGAGGAATCTTTTAAATATTCTCAGCTTTCACTAAAAGCACAGAAAATCAAAGGAGCTATGACCTGTTCCCTTTATATCCACTGAGGGAAACTGAGGAAAGTTCTTGTAGATCCATCTCTGCAGTGAAGCAGGAAAGGAGAAGGGGTATGCTGCAAATTTCCTTTCTGTAGGGTTTCGTTAGAGGAGTTGGTAATGTTGATTCCTTGATATAGTCAGTGTGAAATGCAGTCTTAGAACTTGGGGAATGGGACATCTCATCCCATGTGTTCGGAGAGCTAATACTCATAGATGCTGTGCACAGTGTTACAGACTGGTAACCTGGTATGTGTAAGGTAGGATGGATAGCTCAGCAAGCAAGCATTCAAAAAGGTGGGCATCCTGCCAGCCTCCCATCTACATCAGAGAGGGACAGGATTTGGTCTACAGAATTGCTTGTTTTTAAACAGGGCATTTCAGTTTTTTCTCTAGGCTTAGGAGTTGACCCAGTTTACAAGAATTCCTTGTTCTGTGCCAGAAAATACTCCCAATTGTATGCTCTCCACCCTCGCCAAGCCAAGCCGAGTACAGATCAGACTTGGCAATCGGCAGTGGAAGAAGCAAGTGAAACTTGGCTACTCTGAGAGGGGAAGCACATGGCTGGTGCCAGGCATTGCCATTTCTTCCTCTCTTCTTTGCATGGCAGGCTACTCATTCCCTGCTGTCTGCCTCTTTATTCTAAGTTTATGCCAGTTTATATCCCACTTCATCCTTAAACATCCAAAGTGACTCCTCTGCCTTTTGTGATGTTTTTTTATGTAAAGAATGCTGCCCACAAGAGATTAATCTCCTCAGGAGTTCATGTGGAATCACAGAATCACAGAATGGTTGAGGTTGGAAGGGACCTCTGGAGATCATCTAGTCCAACCCCCCTGCTCAAGCAGCATCCTCTAGAGCATATTGCCCAGGATCGCATCCAGCCGGGTTTTGAATATCTCCAGGGAAGGAGACTCCACTACCTCTCTGGGCAACCTCTTCCAGTACTCTGTCACCCTCCCAGTGAAGAAGTTTTTTCTCAGGTTTAGGTGGAACTTCCTGTGCTTCAGTTTCTGCCCGTTGCCTCTTGTCCTGTTGCTGGGCCCCATGGAGAAGAGGCTGGCCTCATCCTCTTGACACTCCCCCTTCAGATACTTGTACACATTTATGAGATCCCCTCTCAATCTTCTCTTCTCCAGGCTGAACAGGCCCAGCTCTCGCAGTCTTTCTTCATAGGAGAGATGCTCCAGTCCCCAGATCATCTTTGTAGCCCTGTAGGAAGATCATCAAGTTTCTGAAAATATTAAGGGCCATGAGATTTTTCTAATACTCATGAACTGTCCTGCTTCCCAGACAACAGATAGCACCTTCCTTCTGACCACATCCCTCATACCTGCTTCTAAGCATTTGCAACATAGCAAATATTCCTAAAGTCCTGACTTGCCTGCAGGAGCAAGGAGTGTTCAAAGAAGACATGCTGCCCTCAGACACGAACTGAGAGTCAATAGAATTCAGTGTCCAGTAGTACAGGCTGCTAGTGTGGTAGCTGGTCTGGCCTTCAGATGTCTCTTCAGAGGGGTGTGCCTCTCCTGCATACCTTGTGTTTTATTTGTTGGGCATCTTATATGGTGTTAGACAGCCCATATTAAGCAGACAAGTTGATCCCACGCTTTCAGTGGTTTCCACTTTTCTTTGCTAAGCTGCTACTTAGATTGTTATCTTTTACTATGAATAATGTTATCTTACAGTGCTTTCTGTATTAAAGCTTAAGCTTAAGTGTTAGTCCTTCCTTGTAGCTTGCTAATGAGCTACAGCTTCTTGCAAACTAAACTGTTTGCAACAGGGACACACTGAAAAATGAAATGCGCAGCTAGTAACCAAGGGAGCAAAAAACAGTATTTACGATAAAGCTTTGCTTATATTCTGTGGCATTTGTGGTGTGTAGTTATTGCTGTAGTTAATTGTCAATTCATCCTTGTACATAGGCAATGTAAGGCAGATGCAATGAAAAACTTCTCATCTCTCCTCCTTTATATCTCACTTGTATCTTTTGCTGATAGAGTCCTTCTTGGAGCATTACACAGTCTGACCTCATCTCTTCTGCAGATGGAACCTTGCCAGGGGACTCGAACAATTAGTATGGATGTCTGCTTAACTGGTTTCATTTTACAGTGCAGAGGGAAACCCAGAGCAAGACTTCAACGTGTTGAAAACAAGAACAAAAGAATGAACAAATTAACGTCTAAGATCCTGGATGTTATTCTAAAATGTAGTCTTTCTATGGCTGTATTAATCACGTGTTGTCCGTCTTCTCCTATGTCTGTGCTGGCAATGTAGGCAGGGCTTTATCTGATGTCATACAATAACACAGTTATCATTTGGTTCAACCATTCTTGGGCCCTTGAACCGCTGGGGCTGAAGGTGCAGAAGTGCAGGAAAGAGCAGTGTAGGACTGGCCACACACAGGCTCTCCATTTCTTGTCTTTACTGTGTCCCATTCCCATCATGCTTTGCCAGTGGTTTTTGCATTTAGTTAAACAGGATTCTTGGCACCTTTCTCCTTCCCAAATGTACCTGTTTTTTGGGATATGCACTCTTCTGCACCATACATTTGACACTCAATCCTGCTTCTGTAGACAGAAGCTGCTTTCATTCTTTGTTGCTGCGACTTGCTGCTGCTTTGCCTTCCTCTTTTTTTCTTCTGTCCAGGTTTCCTTCAATCTGTATACAAACTGTAAGCAAATGTGGTTGCTTTCGATGACAATTAACAGGGCTAATTCTTGCACACTGGGAGATCTCCTGAAGGAAGAGAGGGCAGTTTTTGATTTATGCATGCTCTTTGTTTAACCCCTGTGGTATCTGGTACCTCTGTCTCAATTAAACAGTTTAACCAATTTGTCAAGAGATTCTCGCTGCTATCTCACAGTGCAGTGCTAGTATAGCAAGTAGGGAAGAACTGAGGCAGCAAAAAAATGCATGTGCCACAAGTCTGAGGAACACAATCAAATCACAGTCTGTGCTGATTTGCTTCAGCAATAGCAATCACTGGTGTAGGACTCGATTAACTTTTAAAAGCAAATTTTAAATAGCTTCCAGAGCTTCTGCAAGGGGATCTTCAATCAGTTCAGAAATTGGGAGAAACAATGTATCCACATTTGAAGTACAAGATTTCATGGCACATCCTGGAAATTTTTTTCTTTTTTTAAATTTTCTCTGAGTGCTCCTCTGCGAGGAGAGCATTCCTAACCCCCTGGCAGTGGCAGGAGGTGGCCGAATGCAACAAAAAAGCCAGACCTGCCCTGGCCTATATGCACATTTATGGTGTACATGATGTGCCATTCAGATATGACCCTTTTTAATCAGAAATCCTTGGGTGTAGAAAACCAATTTTCTTCCTTAAGGAGCTGGAAGCAAACAAGGTTAATACTGAAAATTAATCTGTTGTGCTCTGTAGTGGTTTTGTGTTAATGTTAGTGATAATAAATACAGCATCTCTAATGCTTAGCTACATGACCTTTATTATTTTCCTTTGCTTGAATAACTGTCTAAGAATTGTCAGCTTTGGAAGCTGGAATTATAAAGCAGCTGTGATGGATAATTGACCATTCAACTTTGAGAATGAAGCTTCCTACCATTATAATTAATTTCTATAGGCATCCACATGGTTGATTACTAGATTAACCAGTGGCCTGAGGGTGTTAATGTGTTACATTCAGACCCACTTCCTTCCTGGCCTTTAATACAAACATTTAGATAATTAGTAAATGGATTTGTGCAAAGCTCCAAAAGCATAATTGAAAACAATTTAAAAAACAAAAACAAAATGCTGTAGTATATTCTCCATGCACAATCTCTGAAGTGAGAGGCATCCAAAGTAATGTTATTGATTTGGAGTTTCTTATTTTCCCTTGAGTGTAAAACATAGAAAAAGGACACCTGTTTTCATTCCAAACTATAACGCAATGTTAGTGATTATCTCATTGTGGAGATTTTAGCTGTGATCAGAGCTTAACTTTTACCCATTGGGCCAATAACAATAAAGGACTGAAGCATCACATCATAAGGTCATTCAGCATCCAGTTCAGTAAGTGCCTTGTGTTGGGAAAGGAATCCAAATTCCTGCTTCTAGATACTTGTGTTCTAAGTGCAGGATATGGGACAGAGTTGAATCCTAGGTACCCATATGCTTTACAGGAGCTATCAAATTAGGGCATGCAAGAGAGATTCCTAGCTGCCACCTGTGAAGGCTTCAGGAAGATGCCTTCATTTGAGTTCCATGGCTTTCAGTCCTCTTCTGAAAATATTTTCTTTTTTCTCCTCTTTCAAAGAGCTGAATAAAGTTCGTTCTTACAAGACACCATCTGAAGAGGTGATGCTACAAACAACTCTTCGTACAGTTCATAGAGGAGCGGAGACCCAGTTTGTTTTTACACGAAAGCATCATCAACTTACAAAAAAAAAATCTAGGAACAGGAACCAGAACCCATCTCTGCCTCCTGCTCTGCTTCCCTTTGTGTGGCTGACTGCCTTAGCAATGAGTCACACTCCTTC